CGAAGCAGTTTAACTGTCATGCACGCACTGTTTCGCGCGTGTGGTATCGTGGACGGGAGTCGATACTGAACGGCGATGTCGTGGCGGACGTAGCATCAAAATTACGTGGTAAAACCTCTAGCAATTTATAGATATATTCGTTTTCATAGATATCAATATTAAGCGTTGTACTATTTTAGGGAATTCTGCAGTAAGAAAAAGCGCTCAAAGGAAGAGATCGAAAAAATCATTCGACAAGTGCCGCACCACGACCGCCAAACCTTGCGCTCTTTGGCCAAAAAGTCGAGCATCCTCAAGACAACAATCGTGCGATAAATGAGGGATAATCCGCGTTTGAAGGCTCGCTCAAGTTACGTCAAGCCATTTCTGACCCTGGCGAACGTTGAAGCCTGCCTACGTTTTGCAATGGGGTTCGTTCGACCCTTGCCAAATGGAACTTTTCTTTTATCAGCATGGACAATTATGTCCATGTTGATGAGAAATGGTTCTATTTGACAAAGGTGAATCGAAGGTATTACGTGTACGATGATGAAGAAGTGGCGGCGCGAACTGTCAAGTCGAAGCACTTCATCACTAAGGTCATGTTTTTGGCGGCTGTTGCCCGCCCACGTTTTGACCCGCACACGAGGCGCGTTTTTGATGGCAAGATTGGCGTGTGGCCGTTCGTGGAGGTCGTGGCGGCGAAGCGAACAAGCGTCAATCGCGACAAGGGAACCTTGGTGACTGTTCCCTTGTCTGTGAATGCTGTGGTGTACTATGATACTGTAGTTACTAAGGCTATTCCTGCTATTATGTCGAAATTTCCTAGTACTACTACTAGTAGTGGCAAATTTATTATCCAGCAAGACAATGCGAGCCCCCACAAGTGCGTGACCACAAGAAAGCTCGATGACCATGGAATTAGCGGTATCGAAATTGCCAACCAGCCTTCGAATAGTCCAGATTTTAACGTTCTAGACTTAGGATTCTTTAATTCTATTCAAAGTCTGCAGCATCAAAAGTCAACTCGACACCTCCGGCATTTAAAAATATACAAAATAATTTTAGTTCCCATTATGTGTTGTCAGAGTTCAATACAAATTTCAAGACAAATAAATCGAGTGAGTATACTTTAGTCAAGTGAAATGAAGGATACAACTAATGGGGAACAGAGTAGTAGTTAGCGGCTGAATTAAAGTAAGGGTTGTTTTATTCTGCTGCAATGCAGAACATGCGTTGTTTTATCTTCAATCGGGCATATATTATTTTAAACGTCTGGTTGCTTAACGCAGTTAAACAACGGGCAAATTACATCTAAAGCACAATACTAGTAGTACTAGAGTATCATGGGGTGAAGTTATGCAAGTGCCAGACCAAGCTGAGCTTGAGACTTACTCCGAGTACGACGTTGCTACGGTGGAAGACCATGTACAGCCTGCCAACAATCCGGTACACCCAGAAGCAATCACAGGCACGCTTCGCTCATACTATCACTGGCGTGGCAAATTGACTGAAGCAGTTCGGTGTTGGCACGACTCGAGACAATCACCTAATCCAACTGCATCAACTTCAATGTTGGTGACCGCATGGACACGTCACTTAGCTCCAATCGAATATAGTGTTAAATGAACTTCGCTACTGTACAGCTACAGTGTAGCTTCATAATTATGATGTTTGTACTGCCAAGACGTCGACCGCCATGTAAATGAGGCACTGCTGCATGCCGCGCACCTCGAGTGGCGCCATAACTTAATAAAATTGTTGTTGTTCTAACAGGTCAAATATTGTTGTTGTCATAAGAGGTCCCAGGGCACGCAGAGGTGATGTCCTTAGTCTTGAACACCGACTTTGTGAACAATGCCGCAAAGTATCTCTCCATCTAACGACTGTACTGCCTTGCGACTGCCGTTATTCTAACTAAACGAACGCGAGAGCAAAACGGTTCGTCTAACATGTGCATCACGTTGACATTCCAGTAACTAGTTATTGTACGGAGTGTGAGGAGTCCGCCGGGATGCACAGCATCGGGTCCAGCATACAGTCATATTGCAGGGTCTCGAAGGTCCGCGCAGTGTCAAGGACGACCATCTGTCCTGGCAAGCGTTCCCGTACATTTCCTCGCGTCGCGGACTTGCGCAGCACCAGATCCGCCTGGCGCTGCACCGCTTTGGTCAGCGAGAACGGCGCCAACGTCAAGTAGGCGAGCCCGACCACGCGATTCGGGACCACTTGGCCCATCTTGAAGTGCTAATCGAGTATTTCCATGAACGAAACCCAACGTACCGCCGCTGTTATGCTGGTTGTACCACCACTTTTATGCTGGTGGAGGAGGTACGTGTAGCAGCGTCTGTGCTGTGGTTGCCTATGGTGGGGCGTGTTGATATCTGTCCACATGTTGTGGTTGGTGGCTGTCAGCCATGCCCCGCCATGACAGACAGGGCTCTCGATGGGGTCCCTTGGCGCCAATCTTGTGAACCGACGCGTTAGATACACTCTAGTAGTACTAGTAGTAGTATTAGGAGCTAGTGGAAGTGTCGGTTGGGAATGGTCACCATGGTTAGCCAATCAGTGGCCCCCTGGGACCACCTGCCACTTCTACAGAAGCTCACTCCTAGTTTTGCTGTGCAACGGACATAACAATCAAGTGCGTGGTTCACGGGAGGCGGTGCTCCCCCATTTGGTTGTTTGTGTTGGCGCAGTGCGGGAAACAACACAAAGTTAACTTTAGTTCCAGATACCTACAATTGCGAGACTAAGAGCAATGACGCGAAGCCGGAGCACGTCCCCGAAAGCCAAGCGAACGGCGCCCAAAGGCAGACGCTCCGAACGTTTGAGGCCGAACACGGTGACCGAACAAGAAGGGGCAGAAACAGAAGAAGAGGTACCGACAGCGGAGCTGGCGATGGTCCCAACCAGTGGGACCTCGACCATGCAGCCGATCGAAGATGAAACCAAGGAAGAACAACTTTCACCCAAGTCAAGTGAACGATCTGCGCCACATTCGATGCCCAAATCATTGGAAGACGACTACATCGAGTTGGACAACTACGATGATGAGAAGACCGATCTGGTTCGACAACTAGAGCGTCAACAAGCGGCAAAAGCGGAGCGAAAGCGTGCTAAGGCGGCGAAACCGTATCGACCCGATGGCACGCCAGATAGTTCCTACGACGATGAAAACGAAGACGAACGTCGGAAGGCCAATGCGGAGCGACGCCGACGGAATCGTGAAGCGAAACCAAAGAACAAGAAAGTCGACTACGTGGCTCAGGCCAAGGCGGAACATGCGCGTCGACTGACAGCTGCTTTTGACTCACCTGTGTGGCAGCCAACTGCGCAGCAATCGACAACACAACCTGGGAACTCAGGATGGACTCCAGGGAGTGGTCCACATCAGGGTGGACCTTCACTGGTACTCAAAGACATCGAGTACCCCCCCATCACGACTGTTGACCGTGACTCTCTGGTGGCCTGGAAACGCAAACGTGACCGGTATGAAGAGAAGCTCAAGGCTAACGCCCAGAGAATGCGACATGATTGGCGCGCTACAGCTGTCCCCTGGCTGGAATCCGCTGATCGCAGCATGGTTGAAGCTGCTTGCCTGTACCTGTGGGACATCAACATCGACGACCTGGATGAAAGCGAGTTCCGCGAGCGCATATGCAAAATCATTGGGGAACCGGCGAACAAGTGGACCGTCACAAAGGCCGAAATGGAGGAACAATGCAAGAAATTGCGTGTGGACCCCTTTGGCGACGTGGCAAGCCGCGTGGTGTCCTTTATGGAGCGAGTGAACAACATCATCGATACGACGGGATGGAAGTCACAGCTCAAGACCCCGAACATGCTCAAGACCTTCATAAAGGTGGTGGCATCATGCATCACCCCGTTTGATGTACGCGATCGAGTTGAAGAACAGATGAAGACAGTCCAAGCCAGTACCCTGGTGGAATTCTCCAAGATCCTGGCGGAACAACTCGAAAGAACGTACCAGGCGGAGTTAGTAATGAAATCACGGGGTGGCGACCGAAAGCGAGGGCGTGACTGGGATGAGAAGGGACAGCGAACGTGAAGCGTACTATCAGAATGACAACGCCCCATGACCGAAAGGCGGTTATACAAAGCCGGCCCCGGTGGAACGTGGACGTGACGGACCTCCTCGTGCTCAGGGAGCGACGGGAGGGCCGTCGACGAACAAGTATGGTACCCCGGCGGCAGCCCGGCTCACATTCGATGACAGTGAACAACCTACCAAGCGAGCTAAGTATGGCCCCGGCCAAGATGACCGTGGAGCGCAATGCTTTGTCTGCCAACAACCGGGACACCGTGCGCGTGAATGCCCAAACAAGAAGGAAGACTCTGTGCGAGCTGATCACCTTCGGAAGGGCAAGAATGCGGTGAAACGTTTCAAGTATAAGCAGCGCAAGGCGGAATTGAAGGCGAAGCGAGCGGTCAAAGCCAAGATAGCCGAAGATGACCGTGAACAGCGATGGATTCGACTTAACGGAGTAATCGAAGTGCCATACTGTCCTGATACTGGCGCCGATCAGAACGTTCTGCCCCAGCGGATGCTGAAAGAGTTGATGACGTTACAGCCTGACCTTGTGATGGTGACGCTCAAGGAGCCGATGATCGGGATGGCATGCAACAACCTGCCTTTTCAAGCGAACAATTACGTGGACTTGGCCTTGCAGCTGCAAACGGCAGCGGACCCCGTGAAGATCCCTGGCAAGCGGCGATGCTATGTGGTGGCGGAAGGCGACGAGTTCCTAGCGTCCGACGACACCCTCAAGGCGATTGGCATCGACATCGATCGGCTGTTGGAACAGGTGGCGACCCTACAGCTATGGACGACGGAGATGACCTGGAGGAAGATGGTGACGCTCTAAAGGAGAAGTCCCATCGTTCCACCCTCCGTATCAAGGCAAGTAAGGCCAAGCTGCCCGAAGCCAAGGACGAAGTGGAAGCGGCCCTCCAAGACTTGATCAACGAGGCCATCGATAACCATTTTCCAATCGAAAATGTGCAAGGTTTGTGGCGTGCCCTTACAAAGCATGACATATGGCGGCTCAAGTTCGATGGGTCTGACCCCCCAGCAAGGGTGAAACCATTGAAGGTGACCCCTAAGGATGGATGTGTTCCGTACCGATATAAAGGTCGGAAGCACAACCTCCTTGAAGAGAGGTTCCTCAATCTGTTTGCTAAAGAACTTTGCGACGCGGGTGTCATCAAGCGCAACCAACAAAGCGCATGGTGCAGCCCGGTGAACCCCGTCCTTAAGCCCGAAGGCCGCAAGACACTAAAGACAGCAGATCAGTGGACAGACGACGACGTGCTGAAGAACTACTGCTTGACGAACGATTACCGGGTGGTTAACTCGATGACCAAGCCCAAGGCCGGTACAATGCCGTTCCAAGCAACCATCCTCCAGAACCTGCGGGAGATGAAAGCTATGGGGGTTTTTGACCTGCCCAAATGCTTCTGGCAGTTCCCGCTGCACGAGGACAGTTGGGACATGTTATCGTTCATGCTCAATGGCTGCGTGTATACCCCTGATAGGGTGATGCAGGGTCATGTGGACAGCGCACTCTATGTGCAGTCCACGAACAAGAGTGTTATCAAGACATGCTGTTTAAGAACATGCTGATCTGGATCGATGACATCTTTGTATACGCCGAGAACGTCGAGGCGTATGTGGTGGCTCTCGAGAATTTCTTCGATCGAGTGGCGCACTTTGGGTTTAAGCTGAGCCCATCCAAAACCAAGCTGTACACACACGAGGCCAAGTGGTGCGGACGCATTATCAGTGGCGAAGGCGTGAAACAGGACCCGGAACGGATCCAGCACTTGTGTGCCATCCCCTACCCTACGAACGCGGGCGACTTGCAACAATTTGTGTGAGAAGTCAACTGGTTGCGGGACTCCATGACCGAGTATGCACAGACGGTGGACCCACTCCAGCAGTGCTTGACAAAGGCCCTCGAGGGTAAGGGCAAGAAGAAACGCATCGCGTCTGGTGTTCACTTGGAACTAACCGACGGCGAAAAGAAAGCGTTCGATGCAGTGAAGTCCACGTTATGGGCGTCGGTTGAACTATCTCACCCTCGTGATGTTGCAACGATGTGCCTGTTTACGGACGCCAGCGACTATGGATGGTCCATTGTGGTTACGCAAGTGGTGGCATTTAACGAAGCGATGGTGATCCAAGAACAACACCATGAGCTACTACTATGCCAGTCGGGAATGTTTGCGGGCGCGCAGAAGTCGTGGTCAGTAATTGAGAAAGAAGCGTACCCGATTGCACGAGCATGCGAGAAGCTCAACCACCTGCTGATGCGACCTACTGGATTTCGCATGTACTGCGACCACAAGAACCTGATCCATGTGTTTGCCCCTGGCGAAGAGTGGAAAGCACACACCCGAGGGAAACTCATGCGGTGGGCTGCCATTATTGGCGGCTACCGCTATGACATTATCCACATCGACGGTGTCCATAACCTATGGGCGGACATGATGAGTCGATGGGGCCAACCGACTCCACGTCTGGTGGCAAAACGAGTACTCGTCCGGCGCGGCCACAAGTGGACGAAGAAACGGCGCCCGGCAAAACCTAAGACAACAACTCGACCACAACAGAAGCTGCGGCCTTTAGGCTTTAGACGACTTTGTGTGGCCGAGTGTAGATGACATCCGTCAAGCGCAAGAACAACATGCGCGTGACCGACCGCCCAGGACGACCAATGACGGTGAACTATGGAACGTGGATGGCCGCCTATGGATACCAAGTGCGGCGGACGACCTGATCCAACGGATCATGGTGGTTGCCCACTGTGGCAGCATGGGACACCGTGGTCACGCGGCACTGGTGGCCTCGATCAGGCGCCTATTCTACCTCGACCACCTCGCCGATCGAGCGAGGGAATTCCTCCGCGGATGCTTACTGTGCCCTCATGTGAAAGGGGGAAGGGTGGTCCACAGACCGTATGCACCCAGATGGCACGCAAAGGAACGCAACGAAGGAATTCACTTCGACTACCTAATCATGGGCGAAGCATACAGTGGCGCCAAGTATGTACTGGTGTTGAAGGACGACCTTACACACTACTGCGAGCTGGTGGCCTATGACGGCCCCACGAGTCAAGTGTGTGTGGATGCACTGGTGGACTGGGCGAAGCGATTTGGGATGCCACGAGTCTGGGTCAGTGACCAAGGCACCCATTTCAAGAACGTGGCGATGAAGGTGTTGGCACACAAGTTCAAGGTGCACCACGACCTCACACTGGCCTATTGTCCATGGCGGAACGGCACAGTGGAACGTATGAATCGCGATATTCTCCAAGTCATACGCGTGATGCTACGGGACTACCAGTTGGACGAGAAGGAATGGGACTACCTCCTCCCGGTGGTGCAGTCCAATCTCAACCAGACCCCTGCAGTGTCATTGGCCAACAAGTCCCCCATGGAGCTTTTCACGGCCCTTAACCCAGCGACCCCTTTGGACGTCGTTGTGGTGGGCGTGAACAAGGATCTCTGTGAAGTCAAGTGGCAACACAAGGACATCCAAAAGAACCTCGACGAACTACGAAGAAGTTTGCATGCGATGCACAAAGAAGTGCTGAATCGCAACGAGCTACGGACGAACAAGGCGGTGATAGCCACAGAAGACTTCGAAGCATGCAACGTGACCGAAGGCGATTATGTGTTATGGTCAAAGGTGGACGAGCACTATCATCCCAAGCTACTCGTCACCTGGGTCGGTCAATACCGCGTCAAGTCAGTGGGCGAATTCTCCGTGATGTTAGAACATCTGGTGACACATGAAGAACGAGAAGCTCATACGTCACGCGTGAAGATGTCTGCGAAAGCGAGATTTGAAGTCACCGAAGAAATCCTTGAACATGTCTCCGAACAAGGCATTGTATTGAAGGTCAAATCCATCGCGGGACATAAGATTGTCCCGGATGTGAGTGACTTCATGTTGGAAGTGTTTTGGCAAGGCTTCGAGGACATCGAGTCATCATGGGAGCCGCTCAAGACGTTAATTCGCGAATGCCCAGCGGTACTCAAAACGTATGTGGCAACCAAGAAGGACGCCGAAGACTATGAGACAATGGCTAAGGCGATGAAGCGGGCAAAGGCGGCGCAGTAGAAAAGGCGAAGGCCTGTGTGTCAGGGCGGCGACATGGCTTGGGGGTGTGTTGTGGTTGATGGCTGTCCGTCATGCCCCGCCATGACAGACAGGGCTCTCGATGGGGTCCCTTGGCGCCAATCTTGTGAACCGACGCGTTAGATACACTCTAGTAGTACTAGTAGTAGTATTAGGAGCTAGTGGAAGTGTCGGTTGGGAATGGTCACCATGGTTAGCCAATCAGTGGCCCTCTGGGACCACCTGCCACTTCTACAGAAGCTCACTCCTAGTTTTGCTGTGCAACGGACATAACAATCAAGTGCGTGGTTCACGGGAGGCGGTGCTCCCCCATTTGGTTGTTTGTGTTGGCGCAGTGCGGGAAAGAACACACCACAGTAAATTACGTAGTACTACTAATAGTATGCATGTTTCGTGATTGTTTCGTAAATCACCATATATCTAAGATACAAGCAACGACATACACATTTCAAGATAGCAGGAATTGGATACAAGTGATTTACGAAGCAAAAACGTTTCGTGATTGCTAGTAGTCTGGTGTATTTTGTTTCGTGTTTGTTTCGTAAATCGTGTATAATGTCAATTATTGATACGTCAATATATTGTTGACGATCCCTGAGTACTGACTGTTCTGTTGTTATGTACTACTACGTAGTAGTATTCAGTTTTACCAGGAGCCCCTGTAACCCCGGAACCCCTGGACCCATTGCGCTTACATACAATGTTATTCCCGGGGTTAAGCTGCATCACCAGTGGTTAGCAAGCGCTAACCACTGCGATACACTTAACCCGTAGCTGAAATGAGTTGTTTTGAAATTTCACTTGATTTGACTATACGCCAGAAATAACTTGGGTTTTGTATGCCAGGAGGCGTAAATGATTACGTAACAACAGTACTACTGTTGCAGCGAGGAAATTGCTGGAAAAAGCTGGCTTTACGCTGGGTGGAAAGTGTTCACAGAACTTCCTCCTTGAGCAGTAGTTTTGTACTATCGGTAGTATTATTTAGGTCCAGTGTGTTGTGGTGGGTGCGGGGGGCGCTTGAGCGGGGGAAAGTAGTTGTGTTCGCGGCAGTTTGCCAGTTTGCATATGTCTCCCACCAGGAGGCACTGGCGACAGAACCCGCTCACTTGACTAGCTGCCGATGCTTTGGAGGGCGTAGGATGAGAGACAAGGTCGGCTGGTCGCTTGGGGACTTGGCCATACAGCAGTTCGAGTTTCTTGATTCGAGGCGACGTTTTTGGTGACAAAACTACTGACGTGTTGTACTGGATGTACGGTTTGTACTTGCCCCCTTTGAAGACGAGGGGCTCCAGGGGGTGATGATGCTGGGGATGATAGTGGTGGGGCTTCACTACCACGAGGGCGTCGGAGGACGAACCTGGGAGGTACACTTCTGCCGTCACTTTGGTGCGTTGGGCCAGCGCTGCGTGGGGAGGCGTGTCTACCACTACTGGAGGCAGAATGTGATGCTTGGGTTTCGTCCTTCTAGGCGTGGACAGACTTGTAGCAGACTTTGTCAAATCCTGGACAGCCACGGGGAAGATGGCCAATTCGGTGATGATGTTGGGCGTGTGGGAGATGAAGTCGAAGTTGTCGCTGGATATATCGGACGACTCGAAAAGGGACACCGCCGAGCTTAAACTCGTCTCCCGTGGAGACCGTTTTTGGCTGCGTCTAGGTCACGCGTAAGCTACTGGAAGTGCAGATGCGACGAAGGTGACCGGTTGGTACCGTGAAGTCGAAGTGGGGCCACCACCTCGACGGGGGGCTTCTGGTTTTCGTAGGGGGACGTGGTCTGCGACCATACCTACAGGTTTCGACCTTTCCTGGCTAGAAGCTTCGGCATCGAGGCTCTCTTGAGCACGATTTGATGTACGGAAAGTCGGCAGCTCCAAGCCACTATCCCCTCCTCCTGCCAGGGCGTCGTAAACACGGTTCCGTCGCCATTGTAGAACTTGTTGCGTGGCTTGGACAACGACATCGTGGACGTAGATGGTCGACGCCGACCGCCTGAGGTCTGGGGGGAGCGAGGGCAGCGGGGGTGAAGGTTCAGTGTGCCACGGAATGACTGGAAAGGGAGAGGCGGCAGGTGAAACAGAGGGATGAAAGGCTGCTGCGACAAGTCGCGTGTAAACAAACCCGACGGTTTTGGCCACCGTCGCTTGTGCAACGATACGTTCGGGCGTACGAAGTGTCATCTGCAGACTGGCCGACCATGCTCTAACCAAAACGTGGTAGAATCCTAAAAATACCTCTGGAAACGATCGTTCCACGTCAATGACTACAGTACCAACGTCCGCATAGTATTGAAAAATACTTCGAAGTAGAAGAATCTGAGTAGTCTGATACAGTACCAAGAATACTACTACTGTAAGTACTAGTACTACGTATTAGTATTAATAGTATTAATATCCGGATAATACTTGACTACTAGTAGTATACAATCCGGATAATACTTGGCGCGGATTTTGAGACATCTACACTGTCGAAATGGTTGACACGATGTCATGTTACAGTGAACTGGGAAAAAACTCGCAAGAGTGTACCGTAGTTGATTTGTTAACAAAGTATAAGTGGGAACTTCTGCGACATGTCAATTGATGGATTACCACTTTTTTTTATATTAAAAATAAATGGAAAATATAGTATTACAAAGGTAATTCAATTTAGAAGTCAAATTGGATACATAGGCTCAATTCCACTAAATATATGGCATTCTGTTTAGCAGTGAAACACTTCTTACAGGGATATTTAATGCATACAAACTTCATGTTATATAAATGGAATTCTACTGAAACGTTCAAGTTCGGTCCCAATTTAAATGTTTCAAAAATTTTCACAGGTCATTTCGTCAGCTAGTTACCGAGTAATTCCCTGATAGAAACGGTAGTGTTACTCTTTCAAATAAACCAGTACATACGAAGCACAATTCTAACGTTATTCCCGGGTTAACCTCTCGGGCGGTTAAGTTACATCTCAGTGATGAGCAATCTTATTCACTAGATGTACTTACAGTTAACCCCGATTATAAGTATTGTTTTGTGCTCATACTCACTCATTGGCTATGGTGTAAAAGGAACTAGGCTGTAAAAATGGACATCATGGTATGAGGGAATTAATTATTCGTTGATCTAACAAGTTCTGCCATACATAATATTTATTAAGTATAACAGGTAATTCTAGTCTGCCCCTGCACATTCCGATAATGGAGGAACTAAAAGTTCCCACTTAACAAATCAACTACGGTACGTGGCTACAGTACGCAACAATGAGCCTGCACTCAATATGTACCAAGGCGTTCATTCGTCGGTGTAGATCAGCAAACCATCAGCAGCATAACGATACTACTGTTGTAGCTCGGCATGAAAACATGAACAAATGATCGAGTTCTGATGAGTAGAGTACTCCGGAGTATTGATTAAGCCTTTGAAAATTTGGCCCGAGTTCTGTTCAGCACATGAGACAATAATACTGCTATGGTGCACGTCATCTAAACTTCCAACTGGCTAAATCGAAGAGTGCAGATTTATTATTTAACGTACATAATACAGAATTCGTAAGGTGAAACAGTAGGTTTTAGTATGCTCGCAAGGTGAGCTGCCTTACGAATTCCATAAATCGATCTGAAATAGTTCAAATTTTATTGAATGAAGCTTCATCTTTGTATGGAATACTTTAAATTCCTCTAAACGCATCTTTTTGATGAATTCGTAAGGCAGGCTGCCTTACCAAATTTCTGTCCAATTATATCATAGAAAAGTGAAAATAACTGGCCAATAGGATCGTTCTATTCTCTTTGCTTAGCTGTAGGCTGCAGCTATTGGACTACAGTACTACCGATAGAATGTGATCCCTTGCTCCTATCCGCGCGCTTGAGCCTGGGCGATGGTCATGCAGTATGACTTGGTCCTCGTCTTGTCGCAGCATAGGTAGTGGTTGTTCTTGGCGTAGTGGGCGCTCTGGTGGAAGTGCTGGGCTCGGGTGCCGTCGCACATGCCCCCGTCCTTGGTCGTCTTACTAGTTTTGCATCTTGGCATACACCAAGTAATCATATGGGCCAAGCTCGTCAACTACTGGTACTGTAAATAGGTTGTTTACAGCAATTTACTCGTTGATCCCGAAACCCTGTAACGTCGCGGGCAAACGACTTGATTTGGTCAAACTTTTGGTGACTATGCCCCGATAATATGATTCTTACTGACGGTATTTTTACCCATCACTTCCTCATTTTGACTTGGAAGGAACTTGGGGGTTGGTCCCAGTCCACCGAAAGCATGAAGTAGTAGTGATGCTGCTGGTCCTTCCTAACGAGAAATTCGCATCGACTATTCGTCATTCGATGTCGACTTCAATAAGCACTAAGGAAAAATGTTAGTGAGCGTGCTCGAGAGTGCGATGAACTGCTGACATGAGCATTAAGCTGATGGTGGCACGAGTTGTTTGAGTCGCTGGGAACGGTACTTCTGCATTTTTGAAGTCGATAAAAATGATCGCCTGTGACCAATAATGCGGCAAAGAAGCCATGATGCACTCTGATTAGTTAATAATCAGAAGTAAGGCCAGCCACCTTACGAATTCCACAAACAAGTCAATTAATGTACTACAGTAGTAGTTAAACCCAAAAACAAAATACGTTAAATAGCGATTTCATGCGTTTTATCACTGCAGTGGGAGGTTAAAGGTCCCAAGTGCCTCCGGATATTATATACGGATAATAGTCACATACAAAAATCAAGATATATCTCAGCCGCCACCCCTTAGGCCAAATATCCAAGCGCCCATGTAAAATACCGCTAGGTTAAATTATCTATTTCTGGACTCCAAATTTGAATCTGAGACGTAAAATTATAAACTACCAATTTTTCACAAAAATTTCTGACTTCTATTTCATATTCATTACTCAAAATTTCAGCAAATTGAGATGTTGAATCGACAGATCTCAATGTAATGAAGAAAATGACGTGCACCATATATTACTTTCTTCCCGCGTTCCGGATAAAAATTGTGGTAGAATTCTCAGAACCTCAAAAATAACCCAAATCCGATGTACTTCGAAGTAATTTTCATGACATACAGTATGGAACAAAACTATAGCCGCACCCCAAATTTTTCACCTGTGTTTTTGTCCATTCGGGGACTTCAGAAACTGTCACAAAGTATATTTGAGCCGCTTCTAACTTAAAATTATCCGTACACAAGTCGATTATTATTGGACATGCTGTCTTACCTGTGCTTAGAAATTATCACAGTTTTCACTTTTTCGGGAGCCTCTATTGGTTAGAATTTGCGACGAGATTGATGGACGACACAATTCTGGCATTTGAATTTCAACACGGCGCCGAAAGGGAAAGGACGTGGGAAGGGATGGAGCAATCCAGATGTGATGTCGATGTTGGACTGCATCGAATCCCACCTACCTCTTGGATCAAACCAATGGGATGCTGTGCAGGCGGATTATAATTCGCGGACCTACCTCTTGGATCAAACCAATGGGATGCTGTGTAGGCGGATTATAATTCGCCGCTGGGTTGTACGCGACACGGAGAGTATGCGTCGTAAGTTTAAGTCCCTCCGCAACTCCAAGAAATCAACCGGCGACCCCGACTGTCCAGAGGACGTAAAACGTGCCAAACGAATCAACCGTGCCATGGAGGCTCGGATGTCCGTTCTCGATATGGGATCTGGTGACGAAAACGAGGACAATGAAAACAATGTCAACAACGACAGCGACAGCAGCTCCGACCCTCCATCAGCCCCGACACCGGTACTTTCACCTTTCACTCTTTTTGCAACGCCACGGACTGTCTTGGACCCTACAGAACTTGCGACGATCGGTCAGTTAGTGAACAGCGAGCAAACCATGCGCCAAACGACCCAACGCCGTCGTTGAATTGACGAAATCCTGGCTGATAGTGCGGAAAACGAAGCCATCAAGCGTCGTTTGGTGTTTGAGCAGTGTGACGCGCGACAACACACGTTTGAAGTTCTAGCAGCCATGCAAGAGCGACAACAAGCGATGGAGCTAGAGTACCGCCGGTATCACATGTAACTTGCTGCTGAACGTGATGAGCGAGAAGCTAAACGTCTGGAGCGACAAGTAGCAATGGACATCCAACGCGAAGCGCGTCAAGCTAAGATGGACCAAATCATGGTGGCCATGATGTCCAAATTCCTTGAGAAGTAGCTGTGCTTTAAAAGTAGGTTTTATCCTATTTAGAGTACTTTTCTTTTTTATTGTTGATTTTTTTTGCACAATTCTTTATAATAGACCCAACTTGTGCAAATCGTGCATATTACTTTGGGCCCACCTCCTAATCGAACATGATTGATTGTTCAGATTTCTTGAAATGCCTAGTTGAAACCTAATCAGGAATACGGACTTAACATAAGTATACAAAATATTTATCACACCTAGGACATATGCTCCATTTAGGATTTTCGATAAATATTATCTCAATCTGAAAATCAATTTAGGATATGTATGCCTAATTCATTGTGTTACGAATTTGACTAATGCCAGTGCGTCGCACACGGAAATTGTACAACTTGAAGATGTTGTGCAAGCGCATTTGTAGCTGCTCAGGGTTGTACTGCAGTGGCAATAAAAGTTGTGGATAAACTTGCTCCACAGCGCCCATACCCCATTCTGCGGCTTGTCGCAGAGCAGTGATGGCGTTGCTCATACGCAACAAACCGTTGCGACATGCCGGTGATGCTCGCTAGAGGTCTCCGTCCTTCAGCGGTGTGCGAATTTTGCAGATCAAACCATCGCTGACCGGGAACGCCAAATCCGCCACAACACCGTGGCCATCCTCAGTAAACCTTCGGTAACGCAGCTTCAACTGTAAACGAAGGCTTGTGTCACCATCATTCCAACTTCCGACGAAGTTGTGGTGACACCAAACAATTGTCCCGTCGACACCGAAGAACAGGGTCCCAGTAACGAAGGTGCAGTGCAGCCAGCCAATGTACATCGCATTCTGCAGATCAGCCGATGAGGGCTTGCGCACTTTGTAGTTCTTGCCATCTAAAAAGACCCACACACCACGCACAAGGCTCTCTCTGGCACGGACTTTGATGGCCCATTCGCATTGGAGTTGCTTGCTTGGGTATCGGACTTGAGCATCACGGAGGGAGCGCAGTGCTTTTGCAATCGCTAATTCCGCCTTCGCCAATGTAGCGGACAGAGTGGACGGAGGTATGCCAAACACTTCGCAGAGGGTCTTGGGTTCACATGTAGCGGTGTAGAAGTGCAGCACCAGGGCTAACGCTTGGTGTTTAAAGGGCAGCTTGGGTGGTCTCCCTGCTTTTCCAAAGCCGGATTTGATCTGGTAGTGCTTGGAGAACTCGCGCAAGCCGTCGTCGAAGTCGTTGGGTGCGATTGAGACGGTGGCGATGTATGCGCTTGGGATCCGGGCTGTGTATATCGCCATCCATGCGCTGTGGAGAGGAGACGTGAGAGATTCACATGTAAGATAGTGTCTCTCTTTTATTGTGAGCTGTGCTCGAAATAACCTCATTGTATCCGCGAGGGAGGTGTCGATATCGTCGTCGTCATCCATGTGCATCCACCACCACATCAAGAGCGTAATTTTTTGCAGCTCAGCCACCATTCCATATTTCCGCCAACGTTATCCGGGTAAAATACGACATTGTCGGCACAAATTTGTTGAGACGTATTTTTCGCCTCCACAAAATTTGTGACACAATTGAATTATAATTCCGGATGATTTCACTGTCACAAATAAAGTTTGTGACAGTTTCTGAAGTCCCCGATATTATTACAGAAGCCGCTAGTATGATTCAACGCATATTAAAAATTGAATACAATCTACAGTTAGCATTACTATGGACGAGCAATGGTATTTACAAAAAATGATAAAACGTGTATTTTACTTGGTGCAAAACTATAACCGCACTTGCGTTTTGCTACCATATTTCATGTAATAATGCTCTGTTTTAGCCGTAAAATAGGTTAAAATGACGCTGACAAACCGCCGATGACATGCATATGTTTCAACCACCCATTCGCTAACAACCCATGTCCAGGGGAACCAAACTGACCCCACAAGAGGTGGGCCAGGCCCAAGCCTACAAGTCACTTGGAAAGTTCAACCGGTGGATTGCCCAGTCTTTGCAGAGGAGCGAAAAGGCCATAAGGAACCTTTGGAAGCAGCAACTTCAAACCAAATCAACGAAACGGCCAGGGAGTCGCCTACTTTTTTAGCGGCGCGACATCCGGCGCATATTCCGACTTTCAATCCACAAGCAGCAAACCATGCGGAAGATTGCTGTCACGTTGGATCCACAACCAAGCCACACCACAATCATACGTATCTTTCGCAGCGCCAAGTTTGCAAAGTATCGGAAAAGAAAATCATGACCACGGCTCACTCCCGACCACAAAAAGCACGATCCAATTTCGCAGCTAAGTACCTTAATAAATATGGTCGTTGGCTCGTAACGATCTTTTCGGACGAAAAAAAGTGTAACTTCGATGGTCCCGATGGCTTTCAAAGCTACTGGCATGACTGTCGAGCCCCCCAAGAAATGTACTCCAAGAGCGTCGGTGGTGGCCGAAGTGTAATATTGTGGGGGGGTGTTTTCCAACCATGGAAAGAGTGAACTAGCCTTCCTACAAGGCAAAGAAAACTCCATCAAGTACTGTGAGATATTGGCGACTTACCTGTTGCCATTTCTGGCGACCGTCCGAGCAAAGAACGTTGGAAAATTCGTCGTGTTCCAACAAGACAACGCGTCCATACACGTTTCAAGACACACCATGGCCTTTCTACAAGCTGCAGATGTTCGTACGATGGGTTGGCCCGCTCTGAGCCCCGATTTGAACCCAATCGAAAATGTCTTGAGTCTTGAGTGTTTTGGCTCGCGCCGTTCACGGAAATGGACGCCAGTTCGACAATGTCGAAGATTTGAAGGTGCAAAATTGAGTTTGAGTGGAACCGCATCACTCTCGCCTATTGCAGGACCCTCGTGGACAGCATACCAAATCGCATGGCTCAAGTCATCTTGAAAAGGAGTGCCACAATCGACTATTAGTGCACATATTGTAAGTGCGACTATAGTTTTGCACCAACTATAATACATTTTTTTTTAATTTTTTGTAAAACTATAGCTCATCCATACTAACGCTAAGTGTAGATTGTAATCATTTTTTAATATGCGTCGAATGATACTAGCGGCATCTGTAATGGATAAAAACAAAAGTGTCAACTTGAAAATATCGGGGTGCGGCTATAGTTTTGTTCCAGACTGTACGAATATGTAGATATTTTGGGATTTTTTTATTGTACATGGTTGCCGAGATATCCAAACTTAAAATTACACGACCGGACCAGTGACTTTTCAAAACTTCGCCACTCGCTCAATACTGCTCCGATTTCGCTGAAATTACCGGTAGTGGGAATCGATAGCTTAGATATCGTACATATGCTCAACCCCTCACACAGTACGACAGTTAGTTTTGTTTAGTGCGTTATGCATGTTTCTGAACTGGAACAAAGGAGTACGATGTATTAATCCAGTATTTCCCTCATCTCTCCAACTACAGTAAAGCTTACGTTACCGCAGATAGGAGAGTTTTGAATACGCACACACCAAACTCAAACTAACGTTAGCATTACAAACACAAAATGTCTGAAAACTATGGTGCACTTCATCTAAAAACTTCCAACTGGCCAAATTGAAGAGTGGAGGTTTTATCATTTAACGTGCAATTAATGTAGTTAAACCCAAAATCCAGATACGTTAAATACCGATTTCATGCGTTTTATCACTGGAGTGGGAGGTTAAAGGTCCCAACTGCCTCCGGATATTAAATACGGATAAGAGTCATATACAAAAATCAAGATACATTTGAGCGGCCACCCCTATGGCCAAATATCCAAGCGCCCATGTAAAATACCGATAGGTTAAATATCTATTTCTGGACCAATTCATCACAAAATTTGAATCTGAGACGTAGAATTTCTTCACCACATTGAGATCTGTCGATTATACGTCTCTATTTGCTGCAATTTTGAGTAATGAATATGAAATAGAAGTTAGAAAATTTTGTGAAAAGGTGGTAGTTTATAGATGACGTGCACCATATGCATGGTTAATTGAGTTTTGGATTATCATTTTTAACACATTTCTCATTAGAACCACATTTTAGAGTACTAATAGTATACCGATAGTCTGCTTCAAAATAGCGCCTGCACTAAGGTAGTGCTTGCTATACGTACAGGAGGGTTGTGATTGTCCTCAACCTCCTGGAAAGGTTGACGATGATTTGGCTTGTTATGCATCTAGGATTATCCTCTTAAACTGTAAGACCTGATCGTTAACTTTGCGCGTAAACCAAGTTACATGTCACGTTCGTTACCAATGGATGGATGCTGGATGACAATGTACCCGAAAGCTCGAAGCAAATTCGCCACGAGGGGTCCGTCCATCCTAACCATTTTCATAATCATTTTCACGACATACTTACTACTTCGAAGTATACCCCACCTACAGTATGTTTGGCTTCCTTGTCGCATGGAGCGTCGCGGCATTATTTGTCTTCGGGCCGTCTTCCCATAAGGAAAATGGACTGCCCGATAGTGAAAGCAGCAGCGACTCGGATCGGCGATGGCCGTCTGTCCCAGACGTTCCCGTCACGACGGTTGCCGTGGACATCCCGTTGTTGAATGACACGATGGCACCACCTTCCAAGGTCAAGTTCAGTTTCCCCAAGTTCGTGGGCCAGCCAGCCAAGTTTCCGATCCCGACGGCACCGACATGTGGCATCCGCAAGGCCAAGTCGGCCAAGGAAGTTGTGTACATGACCGTGGACGACGGACCGTCACCGTCGGGCCGGTTGAACCTGCTCAACGCAATGGACCAACTCAACAACCGCAAGAACAAGAAGGCGGCGTACGTGACGTTCATCGAGAGTGGGTACAACTTTTGCGGCCAAGGAGGGACGATTTTCACCTTGCAGTGCTACTCCACCGCGTACGATACGTCTTTGCAGTTGCTCGTGTGGACAATCAAAGCCGGTCACATGATCGCGGCGCACTCGGACTCGCACTTTTACGACGCCAACGCGGGAATTTGTAACTACGTGACCATGCCCTTGGTGACCAAGGTCGAGGACAAGTACGCCAAATGCGGCAACGATACGTGGTCTGACATGGTCCGCGGCGCGTTGCGCATCGAAGAGGCGCTGGCCAACGAAACGCTGTGGGAGACGGACGCGGACAGAGCGGCGCACAAGCGGGCGGTGTCGACGTTGTGGTCATACGCGCGGTTGCCGTGTACGAACGCGTGGCGACTTCCCGGTGAGTCGTCCGAGACCGGGCTGTTCAAGGAAGTCACCGATCGAGACGCTCGTTTGCTCACGGCGGACAAACTCTTTGGGGGGAAGCTCGAGTGCAAACCCGACACCAAGCCGTGGTTTGTCTTGGGGTGGGACGCCGAGTGGCAATTGGATGCCAAGGCAACGTACGACGCGCAAAAGGAAAAGTGCAAAGTCGCCCAAGACATTGTCAACCATTTCGACAACAAGGGGAAGGCTGGGCCAAGGGAGGACCACGTTGTGCTGCTGACCCACGACTACTTTTTTGCGGACGAGGCGAAAGCGTCTATCTTTCGAGACGTGGTGGCCGAGCTGCAGATGCTCGGGTATACCATTGGCACTTTGGACCAGTACCCCCTCAAGCAATAACACGCGAGAGATAGTGCAACCAGGAGTACTGTATTTAACACAAGTAAGGCCCGTTACAGTACGGAGTAAACACTGCACAGTGGTAGAAAAAAGTATAGGACATTTCGTTTTTGACACATAAGGTAGTGCATCGATTTTCGGAACCATTTCCGGTCTGATTTTCATCCATTCTTCGGAGGGTCATTGCTCAGCCATTAATTCGAATCAAGTGATTCTGGATGTATGATGCGAAAATATTATTCACGGGTCATATTTTAACGTTGAGAGATGCTCAATTTACCGATATTTGTGATTTGTATGCAATAGAAATACGGTGGGACATGCTGAAACGACTTTTCAGCAGAATCTATTTCCCGAACCATTGTAAGTATCTTGAATTAAGTATTGATTGGACTATATTTTGGCATTAGAATACATCGGATTTGAACTGTCTATATTTTTGAGGTTGAAGAAGAGTACTACATTAAATTTCATCAAAATTTAATGAATTGAGTCATTAAAAATTCACACGAACTTTTTACGTCTGTTTGCAATGGAAGCTTTTTTGCGCTTGTTAGGAATGGAGGCAGCGGCATGCAAGCCTGCCATCGAGAACCACTCGTCGCCCGTTGACACACGCTTTCTTTCCTTGCCGGTGTGCCTCGCCGGTACGGTCAGAGCATCTTCGCGAGCGGCGACTTGAGTTCTAATCCACATTGCAGCACCAAAGTCCTTGTCGACGCTGTTGGACGTCTGAAGCGCCAAGCGTTGAGCATCATCGGCAACGACAGCGGCAACGTTCCACAGGTACAAAACCCATTCTGAACAATCCCGGACAGCTCACGTCGTTCGTTGGCTAGAAGATCATTACGCGACCGAAGCTTGTTGAATGCTTCACCAGCGATGGAAATGGCTTTAACGCGAGGTAGTGAAACGGCGTTGAACGCGCGAAGGTACGTTGTCACGCCATTCTTGATGTCTCGCTTGTAGGAACGAAAGATTGCAACATCCAACGGCTGCAGCAAATGAGTAGCATTGGGAGGTAAGAACACCAACAAAATCCCATACGTTTCACAAATCCACTCAGATTCCACGCAATGGTGCGAGGAACAGCTATCGAGCACCATTACGGCTGGATGTCCACCACGAGCTTCGAGTTTCCATTCGCCAAAGGCAATAAGCCACGTGTTGAAAATGGTGGAGTTCATGAACGCCTTTGGTGCCGTGGTCATGAGGGCGCCGTCTACAGGGCATTCATCCAACACACTCGTCTCGCATGTAACACCTGGTAGGATGAACGCCGGTGGGACAAGCGTGCCATCCGCAGCCGCAGTCATCACGATTGTCAGGTGATAAGCCTCTGCGTTCTCCTCGATCCACACGCTGCGGGACCCGCGAATAGCAACGACGCGTTTGGACTGTGTCTTGGTCTTGAAGCTTGTCTCGTCGTCGTTGTATACCTCCCGCGCCGTACAGTGGAACCCAACATAGGCTTTTAACAACGAATTAAAGTATGTTATTATACCTTCTTTGTCGACCTTGTTGCGACTTTTTGACAGACGTTGCGCCAGCCGTTCGGATATGCGCGGATTGCGCGTACAATACTTTTGATAACATCCGCGCGAAACGTTCATGGGATACCGGCGTGAAGCGAAAGGACCTGGCACGCCTTGTAAATGACGGCAGCTCGATCAACCGGCCATCCACGTCGCTGCATGGCGGCGATTCATTCGACGATGTCCTCTTCGATGCCCGGGGGGAGGAGTTGTTTCGGACCACGCTTTTGTCGTTCGACCGTCCCGGTCGTTTTCATCATTTTGATGTAGTGAAACAGTGTGGTCTTGGTCACAGGAGAGCTGCACACGACTGCTGCTTTTGACTCGCCTGCCTCAACCCGTCGAATGGCTTCATGGATCTGCTCGTACGTGGCCACCATCGTTCAATGGATGGCCAGAGGCGATGAAATTTATTTGTCATGGTGTAAAAAAATAGCGTGGTTTTCATCACGGTGAAATGTAAATCAATACTACCTCGAATAATATCATATCCAATCAAAAACCATGATCACCAAAATGGGCGATCTAATTGGTAGATATTGAAATGGTTCAGGAATTAGATGTGGTTCAGAAAATCGATGCACTACCTTACCTTTGCCTTGCGTTAGAACAATTCACATGTAGTGTACCTCACAATAGAGACTTTTAGCAAGTGCGAAATGTGAGTAGTTTACATACTTTGTACTTCGTTCGATTATATCGATAACGTAAGCAACCAAGAGCATCTCCACCGCATACCAACTCGCCATCCCTAAAAATCGGTACTACAGTTGTATATCGTAGTTACGGATACTACGCAGAATTTGGGGACTTATCCGGGTGATTTTGTCCCCATTTGCCTCGGACATCCCAAAAAGTGCAAATTATTGGGATATCGGAGGCAAATGGGGACAGAATCACCCGGATAATCCCCAAAATATCCGTACCGCAACCTGAAGTAACGGTACAATCGAAGTTCTGGGTTATGGGGAAAATATTTGGGGATGCGGTGGAGATGCTCATCGTCACTTTTTCTTACAGCCTTGCTTCCATGGCCTATATCTCTGCTCCCAAGCATCGGATTTGGACTCCAAAAGCGTGTTTGAGAAGCGGAGATGCAAGTCTGTCGCCTGGAAACAGATTCCGCATGTTTCATAGGGAAGGTAGCATTGTTAAACACAGTTTTCTATGCTACTTTGATCTAGAACTGGCAACCAATTGTTGGTGCTTATACTAGTATTTGTATGCATGTGTGCATATATATTTTAGGTTTAGGGTATAATATGTCAGCAGTATTGTATTAAATTTCATCAGGTAATGTAATTCTGCAGTTCTTTGGATCGGTGACGGTTAGCCATGTTTGTATTTGAAGTTTGTATGCTTGCATCATAATTGTAGGGTTGTTTTTGTCATACGTCCTAACGGATGGTTCTTAGTTTTAAAGAGCGAAGCTCAGTTTTGAATTGGCTGGCATGTGGCAATGAGTTCGTCGTTACCTTCCGCAAGGGACGGGGGCGCCCCAAGCTGAGCACTACGCGAGTCCTACGCCCTGGCTCCACCGGGACACCAACGCGGTTATAAAGAGCTCCATACGGGGATCAAGGCCAGGGCAATGGGGTAAATGTATGCTTGTGTCTCAGAAGTCCAAAGTTATTTTTGGACGGGGCGACCCAGGCTAAAATTCGTTTTCAGTGTTTTGCCAGCAAACTCACGTCGTACAAAATAATGTCAAATTTCTTTTTTTACAATTGACAATGAATTTTTATCCTCCTTCAGGCAGTGGGGTTGGCATTTATTTTTGGACTTGGATATTTTTTCGACGACAAGATTACTAATGTTACGACCATCTTTTTGGTAATACAACGGGAAACCAGTAATTCACGGAAATTTTTATATAGGGTCACTGGTTTACCTCAAACATTACTGAACACAAGTTTAACGTATGGTGTATTTGCATTACACGACACTTCAGTAGCCTCGGAACTCATGACCATTCCATTTGACAGAGGCGCCATTCCCAACTTCGCCGCAATGCTGGCCCACTTCAATGCCAGCGGCGACAGCACGATACCACCGCGTTTGTTCTTCCGCTTGGCCTTGAGGGCTTTCTTGCGTTGGGCTGCCTCAAAGCGCTCCTTTTTGTGGCGTCCGTCTTGTGCAGCAGAGCCAAGGTAAGAAGTCTCCCCCTACGTCCGCTGTCTTGCGGGATGACCCCCTTGTTTTTTTTCACGTGCAGGCAGAAACAAAATCACGGCCCTAATGACTTGGCGGCGCACAATCCAGTCTGCATGGAGGTATGAACGTGGCACCCCGCAGTCCTTGATAAGGCTGTATCGCTTGACCATTTGGTCATGCAACAGCGGTCACAAGCCAGTTGTTCAAAATCCGCTGATGACGTTCGTCGGAACGATGTGGCTAGTCCACGCCCTCGACGCAACCGTCTTGGAGATCGTGTACATGGCACCGGAATCTACATATACCAGCTTGTTTAGATGATTTAATGGCATGATTTGTACTGTCATTGATCATCTCTTCGACATTGCCTTGCGAATCGCTGTTTTGTATGGCCCATAGACGGCAACATCCAAAGGTTGAAAAAGATGTGTCGCATTAGAAGGCAAACAGTGATAGTGCTGGATAAATGCTTCAACCACTCGTAAAAAATATCCTCATTCAGTAGATACAGTCGCATTTGGAATTGTGCACTCATTACCCAAAGCATTATCAATGGTTTCACCAGGAAAAAGAAAAAGAGGAGGAAAAATTGAACCTGAGGCACTCACACAAGCAACAATCGTCAAATGAAAGTTTGGAGCTACCGTCTTGGCCCACACATTTTGCGATCCTTTGAGTGCAATTACCTTTTTGGACTTTTTTCGAGACGAAAATGCCGTCTCGTCCATCTTAAAAATGTGATCGGGAGTCAGAGCATGATCAGCAACGACGGTCTTCATGGATTCGAACAAACGATTGACTCCGTCCATGTCGACAAAGTTTCGAGAATGTGAGATGACTTGCGCGGAGCGCTCTGTCAACTCTGGGTGGCGCTGTCTAAATCGCGTGTACCAACCGTCCGTCAGGGACTGTAATGGATCGAACTCGCGTGCCAACTTGTTTGCCTTGACGGGAATGTCATCGCGGTCCGGCGGATGTCCGTCTTGCTGCATCGCAACAATCCACTGCACCAATCGCTTTCGCATTCCGCTGGTAGGACTGGCTTGGGACCACGACGTTGAGGTGCCTTGTTAGTGCCTGCCTTGGTTTGGCGCACAATCCTCATGAGTGTGTTGTAGGGGATCTTCGTGTACAACGACACATGCTTGCCATTGGCGCCTCCTAGGACCTTCTGCACAGCATCAGCCAGTTCTTCAGGCGTGTATCGTAATCGCGGTCGACGCATGTCATTGCCGCCAAAACAATGACGAAAGGTCAGTGTGTATTAATTTAAGCAGGTGTGCCGCCAAACTTTTGTGGGCGTTGATTGGCTTATAGCAGAGCACCAAAAATTGGTTGACTGACCATAAATTGGTTGTTTACGTTATCTGAAGTTGGAAGTTTAAAGATTTCAGATTTAGCTGGTCTGAAAAGCAGAGCTGACCAAAATAGAATTTCAATCGATTTCTCGGAATCATGCGAAGGAGTAATCTATTCTCGAGGTGCAGTCGTGTCAATGTATTCATTCCTAGCAAGCAGCGCAAAGAATTATTCATTTTGCTCCTACTGCCTAGGCGAATAACTTATTCAAATTATTCATCGAACCATACAACACGATGTCAAGACTGGTGTCATTGGAGTTAACTACCTACTCGAAGGCGCGGATACACTCATGGACGTCTGCCATTCCCCAAAGATGCGAATTGGCACGCAAAAACATTTGCTCCTCAACGTTCTTTGGCGTCATGGAGCAACGACGATCGCCAATCGCCAGCTTGGTCGCCGAGAAGAATCGCTAGCACATATTGGAGGTTGTACACAAAAGCGACAGTCAATGTACCTACCATGGGAGACGCTTCTTCAACGCACGCTGTACCAACGACATCGGCGGCTGAGCCATCTCAGTTGCGGCAGTTTGATTGGCCACCGGAACAGCCAATCGCTCAACAGCACTGACCTCCTCTTCGGTCAAAGTGTCGGCATGCCCACTCAAAATCTTCACGACTCCAGATTCGAATGTAGGATATTGCACGATGTCAGCGGTTTCACCCAAACGCCGAACAGCATCTGGATAATCCTCGACAACCGTATCAAAAATACGACGTACTGTAATCGGAGAGCATGCATTCTTCATCTTGTAACGCCAAAGTGATCGAGGTCAAATCCCCCAGCACAGCAAGCAGTGTGTCAACGGCTCGCTCCTCAATAGGACTCAATCGAAGTAAATCAATTTCCGCATCACCCAGATCACCCAAAAATGACTTGATTTCAGTGTAGCGTTTGAGCATGCTGTGAGTCGATGTCCAACGCGTTACTGTTCAACGTTTTGCAGCCAAAAGAGTAAGGCGGCGGAGACGGGCAGCAGGCAAAATGTTTTCAACTTCCGCATGAGGGAGTTAACTTTCTGAATAACCCCCTCGTGTTGTCGCAGGACGTCCAGCACAAAAAGGTTGAATCGGTGGGAAGCACAACCAATGAGCGGAACTTCAGCCAAACGGAAAGGCAGCATTTGTGGGGTAATTGTCTCCAATAAGTGCGACAACGTTATCCCAAGTACGACCATACAACTCCAAAACAAAGTTGGTAAATTCCAGGTGGGCAGCGGCACTTAGCGAATCCTCGTCGTTGATTGGCGCAAATGCCAATAACAATATCGAATAGTCAATGGGATCGTCGGAGGGAAACGACGCAAAAATTGCAACGTAGTGTGTGGAACCAAATGACCAACCGTCGAATACGATGGCAAGCTAAGTCGGAAGGGTGCGGTGAATTTTGCGCTCAACGTGAGCAACCACAGCATGCATGTACAGTACTTCACGAAAGAAGTGCGCGAAATGGTGTCAAGATTCGTGTAACGGCGCACAAGTGGATTCGACACGAACGCAAAGGCAGATCCAGTTCAACCACCCATACAATGTACGCACTAGGCGTGGGACCATGATGTCGAGGAGCTCAGTTGGATTGGGAGGGTTGGCAGCGTCGAAAGTAGCATAGTCCGGACGGATGAACAGCAGTTACATGGGAACACAGATTCGTGTAACCACTACCAGTTTGCGTGCGACGAACGCCACAACGACACACCCACACATTGCTGCCAGGAGCATTACGCGTAAAAAGAGCTCGGCGGCTGACGGCCACGGAGAATTGCGTCGGGCTGGTTCATCAAAACTGATAATGATGTTTGCTGTCCTTTTGTCCTGAATTGAATGGCTCAAATGCACTTTTGGGTTTTAATGGCTTGCAGCAAAAGTCATTTCTACCAGTTTTAACAAAAAATAGCTAAAATTGAGATTTCGCCGAAAAAACTCACTACAGTATTTCTGGGATTTTTGTCCAAATAGTCAGAAATGTTGTTTTATTGTCTTATTATCGGCGTCAAAAATCATCCTCCTCGGCCAGCTCGTCTTCGGCGCGGAACATCAGGCCGCCAATGATATCGTCAACAATCGTAGGGAAATGGTCATATTAGAACGAACTCCATCAAGCTGATGCCTATAATCGAAATGCTACACGATCGGATCAGTTCATACTTCACCTGGTTGACAGAAACCTTCGTCGTCGCATCTTCGCTGGCGATTTGTTCGTCAACCTTGATCCATGGAAGCGCACTTCTTCGAAACAAGAAACCGTTTCATTATTTTTATCATGGCATGAGTAGAATTTTTAAAAACAAGACGTCAAAACGATATTATGTGACGTTATATGTGGAAGCAAATTCTCCGGAGTATGATTAACAAAGTTGGATAACTTGGATGTTATATTTGAGACAGCCACTTTCAAAGCCACATAACATAAGTCAATGTAAATCGATCAACCCGACACTCAATCTGCGTGTTCACAAGCATTATCTCTACATAATGACGTATCATAGAGGTCGCTACGAGCTATATTCATCGAGATATTTACTTACAAAGTAGGCTATATTTGTGTTTTTTGCTACTTGAGGACACATCACTCATACTACAATGCTGCAATCACCATATTTCTAGCTTTGAACGATAGCCAGCAACTAACAGGCAATATCTACATATCTACATTCATTACACCGCTCGTAGACACGCTCTGAGGCCGACAAAAGCTGGAACTAGCACTCTGATTCCGATTTTGGGGAAGTTCCTTAAAATTGGGATTCTGCACAGCCATAAATTTGGAATATCGCAGCCTATTTTTAGCTTTTCCCAGGTTTTAGGAGGCCTGGTGCCATACCAATCATCCGGTTCTCAACCGGATGACTAGTCGAAACCTCTTCAGTCTTAAGTATCCTAACATGTCCTCTTGCGCAACTAAGGTGTTCTCCCGACAATACATCAATGGTTGGTTGCGCGTAGTTTAGTGATAGCATAGTAGTCTTAACGCTATCAATTCATTCTTGATTCTACCATATCCTTCCTTTATGCACGCTCACAAGCGGACTGTGCGGTACAGCGAAGATGGAAATCATCGCAATATAGCGCAGCAGGTACTCCAGACGTATTCACGACTCGACGAGTACAAACGCTTTAGTTTCTCCGCATAGACTGTGTGCATCGGTGGATATCACAATGGTCGTCAACTATCATTACGCACCCCACTGTTCGCCGCAGCAATACTAGAATATTCTCTATCATCGACGCACTCCTGCACTCCACTGCCTGCCACCGTCGCCCCAGATATCGGGAAGACGGTCACCGCTGCACTACGAGGCGGTGGCAGACGGTTGTTCGTAAAATGACAAGCTGCGCTACGAGGTAATAAAATATAACCTGTATAATTTGTTGCAAGTTTTAGGGTGGAAATATGAGAGACCTGAAGCATACAGCAGGTAACCGCATTGGAATTGGATCACACTGGTACAACAACCACATACAAATTTTCATATAAAATGGAGGTGAGTCAAAACGTGGGTGTTATAAAAATTTCGACAGATTTATTAAAATACAAAACAGTACGCAATAAACAGTCTCGGATTGGCCAAATTGTAACCAATTGACATTGCTAAAAACCACGTCGCATACAACAGCACACAAACACCAAGGCATACCTACCCCTACCGGTACATTTCTTCCCTTTAGTTACAACTGAACTACATTTGGCAAGGCTTTTTCAAACGCACTTACAATCATTGATTACTTGAGTTTGGATTATCATTTGCACTTACAATCATTGAGCTATTAACCTTACGACACAAAGACTTGAATGGCAAACTCTCAAAGCGTCGGAAGTACATCCGAATGCTGCGGACGTTAAAGCGTCAGTAGAACCGTTTGGCCACACGTTTTGGTTGCATCGTGAGAAAGTTTGAATGTGAATGTCATGTGATACTCATCAGCCAATCATTGCTTACTATATTTGAATTTTGAATCATGCGTGCCAGGTGGTGTCGTCGAATATGACGAATGGCACTTTCGCTATTTTGTCTATCACTTATTGGCTAAAATGCAATTGCACTGTGAATCCCTTTGATATTTTTTTGGCCAAGTATAAAAATATGCAAGTACCACTATGATCCAATTCCAATGTACTTCCACCGTTTCAGAACCCACTCACTCGGGGAATTGGTCAAAATACCCACAATACTAGTAGTATTTGGGAACAGTGGAAGTACAGGGGGCGACGGATTTTAAGGGACACTTGCTACTTCGAATTTGCCATTTCATCAGAAATGATTGATTGAATAATTTCGAACTTCGATGGAAATCTCAATTTTTAGCCAATCACATAATGATTTTCACAAATTCAAATCTTATTGGCTATAATATTCTGTAACTTTAAAATCCGTCGCCCCTGTACTTGCTTGCATAACGTTAGCGGTATTGTTGACACCCCGAAACGGTGATGCGACTGGTATTACTTCGAAGTATTACAGTACTAGTATTGGAAAAATGTCTCATTTGCGAACGGTAGCAAAATGAATTGCGGAGGAAACTCCCTCACTGAAAAATGATTACTAACAACAGTACTACTAGTACTGTTGTTACGTAATCATTTTTACCAAGGGTCCCATGTAACCCCGGAACCCCTGGACCCCTTGCGCTTACATACAATGCTGTTCCCGGGGTTAAGCTGCAACCAGTGGTAAGTTAGCGCTAACCACTGAGATGCACTTAACCCCTAGCTGAAATGAGTTGTTTTGAATTTACACTTGATTTGATTATGTGCCAGAAATAACTTGGGTTTTGTTGTTTTGGTGGGTCCACGGTTTCAGAACCCACTCACTCGGGGAATTGGTCAAAATACCCACAATACTAGTAGTATTTGGGAACAGTGGAAGTACAGGGGGCGACGGATTTTAAGGGACACTTGCTACTTCGAATTTGCCATTTCATCAGAAATGATTGATTGAATAATTTCGAACTTCGATGGAAATCTCAATTTTTAGCCAATCACATAATGATTTTCACAAATTCAAATCTTATTGGCTATAATATTCTGTAACTTTAAAATCCGTCGCCCCTGTACAGGGAACGACGCTGAGTAACGGCGTGATGATGACTTGTGATTGGACAGAGAGGCGGTTCGAATTGGCCAATTGAGGATCACAAAACCAAAATATAAAAAAAGTATCGAATGAATAAATGAGCTGTGAATATAAGATTACAAAGGATATGAATATAAAGCGTACTTAGTACTAGGAAGACATCGATGCCATGGTTTTCAAGTCCTCATTCTTGCAGGAAACTAATTATCACAAGGGATCAATGCCTATTACACATATTGCATTACATCGCCGCGACACATGGACTGTTGGTTTAATTGAGTTTGGATTATCATTTTTACGACATTCCCCCGCGAGGGCCGACACTAGAACCACATGTTATGGCTCAGATGGTAGAGCGTCAGTCTCATTGTCACATGGACTGTTGGTTTGCACACCCCATGGGGACCAACAAAATGTGACATGACCGCTTATAAAAATACTAT